CACGAAATAAGCCTGTACTAATTTATTCTAATATTATCTGCATTAACGAGACATTTATACTAAACACATTATTCCTGAAAATATATTAAAATAAATTGTAGTTAACTTACCGGCAAACGCGTTATTACTTAAGAAATGTCGTTCTTCAAGAGCACAAGTAAAAGAGCGCCTATCGCTCGCACTGTCACATTGCAACTAAATAATGTCATAGAGAAATAGGGTTTTTACAGTTACCGGAGCGCTATTTTTTCTACACAACTGTGTTATTAACTAAAAAATCATCAATTTTGAGATAAGTCGACCTTGTAGCAAATGAGCGAATATGTATGTGTTCAGTGTGTACAATAACGAATAAAAAAAAGAAAAAAGCTTAACTGAAGAGCAAAATATAATACTTACAATAATATTAAGTTATAATATAGCTACACAAATATTGAATGTAATAGGCTGGATGTAATAGGCTTAAGTGCAAAATTTAAAAAAATACTATACCCAGCATACATAGCGAAAGATTTTTTCATTACTTTTATTAGAGTTTTTTTTAGGGTCGCGAAGATTCCAATAATAAGAATGTAAAGTGTCACCATGTTCATCTGTCTGTTCGCTTTTCGTAGAAGTACTTAATACTAGAAAAGTTTAATAATAATGCAAATTGCAGAGGTAATAGTATCGACTCTGGTAAAATGATGTAAATATTAGGTATATAAGAAACGATATACACATTTTCTTGCAGCCCCATGAACTATTTAGGGTTCATAGGGATGGCCTTTCTAGGTACACCTTAAGCCTCGACAGAAGATCTGATGATGGAACATTATATGGTTTCAGTCGGTTTGAGTCCAATGTACATTCTTACTGCTAAACTCCGGTGATATAACGGTTTTTCCACTAAAAAAAAGCCCGGCAATCAATGTGACTTTTTTACGATATACATAATATGATTCAAATGTACATTGTGTGTGTAATTAGACTTAACAGTTATTAAAAACAATAAGAAATTAATTAATTTTAAAAATAAGCACTGAGTAAATATGAGATTCTTATGATAATATGGTATTGAAAAAACTTAAAACCTTATATAAATTATTATATTATATAAATTATTCCATTATATTACGAGACTCCGAATAGAGTTCCGAATTGGGCATTTTTTCATTATTTATGATTACAACTTGATTTGTATTTTATTCTATCTTTCTTTTTTGTAAACAGTGTTTTACGTTAAACACATAAAACAAGTTTGAAACACACACAAAAATTCTAGAACCGAAACAAATTAAATTTTACCGATTTTTTTACTTGTTCTGTATCTATACTGTTATTGTTTACCTTTTGAAGGTTCAAGAGGATAACCAATCAATTACTTTCGAGTGTAGTTTGTAGGATACTAATGACCGTGTGGTAATGGATCAAGAATCAGTGTCACCATCCCTATTCATCCCGTGGGTATCGTAAGAGCCGACTATCGTAGGCCAAAACCTCCATTCTAAGGAGAGGCCTATGTCCAACAGTAGACTATGATTGATGATGATGATGTTCCAAAAAAATATATAGAGTAGGTACATATTATACAGCATTTAAACTCAAACTATACGGAAATATACATATAAAACGTCTTATTTTCTAATTACTAATATTCTGTCAAAAGACTTGGCTTGGCACGTATTCAAAATTATTAAGTCCTTTTATCGGTTCTAAATATAACGGATGTAAACTTATTAGTTTACGTCCGTTATATTCAGGGCAAAACCTCCTTTCTAAGGAGAGGCCTATGTCCAGCAGTGGATTATTACAAGCTGTTGATGATGATAATGTGATGATGATATTCAGTAATTGCTAATACTAAAATTTTCAGGTTTACTATAATTTTATTTTCTAAGTAATTTGTAATTACTATAATTTTTAGTTTTCAAGTCTTTGAATACATTTTTCATATAAAACTATTAAATTAAAAATAAATTTAATAGGCAGTTTTATGATATTGACCCTATATACTCAACAAGAACATCTTGTGGATAATGCGTTAAACATAATATTTTCCCCTCTTGTTAAAAGGCGGTTTTCTTTTTAAGTATACGTTCCCAAAAGTTCCAACATTATATTATTATAATTAAGAGGACAATACAAAACAATTTAAAAGGATATGTTACTCTAAGGTGCCTAATTACGAAAAATGCCAAGAACAATGAAAACGTAAACAAATTTAAAAAATCCCAAAAGCCTTATTAATGAAAAATCAAGCCAAGTTTATAAACATATAAATAAATTAAAATTATTAATGTAGTAGTACATTAAATACACAAATTTTGCTGACTATAATTTTAGTGCCATTTACATGAGACAGAGTAAGTCTTTTCCGTCAACCAGACCTGGCTCACGCATTCCTAAATAAGCATACTTGTATTTTTCTAAATACATAAAATATATAGATAATATAAATAGTTAAAGTATTTTACCCAGACACAGCACCAATAATCGTGCTGTTCATACAATACTTGTCCTAGGTGGTCCTAGGTTTTAGCAGTCAGTTTAAAAGGCCAGTCAAGTATTTTACCATAATAAATTACCACTGCCCTATGTTGGTTTAGTTGTTTGCGATTCTAATGCAGTTAGGGCAGGGATTCTCTCCTGGACAAATTATGTGTGTATATATAGAATAAAAAAAAGGATGAAATAGGATAAAACAGATAATATGGTATCTGCTCAAGTCGAGCTATAACTAATTACAGCCCCTTTTCCAAATGGTGAAACTTTGTGAGAGGGCAAACATGGTCTTACGGCCACTGTCCTAATATTTACTAGTTTAAATTAAATATTACATTATTATGTTAATTAAATTAAAAGTAAATCATATAAAAGCTGGCTGTAAAACTAGGGAATTTGAAAAATATGTAAGATAAATTAATCGAAGAGACTTAGTAGGAAAAAAATAACATAACAGATTGAAACACACATTTGCAAGGCATATGTTAGGTGTTAACATATGTTAGGTAATTGCTAAGAAATATGTAAAATGGCTTGTGAATCAACAACATAACATATATTCAATCTCAAGCATTTTAATATTGCTTAGATTAGCATTTATGTAGTAGTAAGGAATTTATTTTACTATACAATTACACAAATCGTACTCAAAACAGCTTGTAATTTTGAAGCCTAGAAGCACGTGCAATAAGTTTACGTTTATTACGTGTATTGAAAGAATGTATTTAACTTTTTCACAGAACTATTCTTCATATTTATATATTTTTTTAATATGCTAAAGTGCTATTGTTATTGTGCCTCAGCGAATAATAAATACCAAGGTAATAAATTGCTGGGATAACCTTCTTCTGTAGCACGAAGATAAGTTTAATATTAATGCATTACCCTACAGTAGAATAATTTACACAATTTATCATGAAAACAAAGTCGAAATAGACTAATCTAATTGTGTCAATATCAGATTGTTTATTAGTAGCTCTCTCTCTCTCTCTATCAAGGCCAGGCTCTTACCGGTGGTGTAATTGCCAGGCTTCTCTATTGTCTACGATTTGTTTCACCTCTTGATAGGCCACGACTCCCACTTTCTGCTTTACTTCCAGTAGATAGTATAGTAATTTTATCAGTAGCTATATTACATGTTGAGATCCTTGTTGACATCTAACATTTCATTATTTTTACAACTTTTTACAGATTGCAGAATAAATCAAAATGGCTGTATTTGTTGTTTACGAAAAAAAAATGTGTACGATTCCACTTATAGGTATATTCAAATTTTTATTCTGAAATATGTGATAATTTGGTGTTTTATTGTATTTTCAGCAGGTTGCATGTGATCATGTGATACATTCTCCAAAAGACACGTTGATTCTCATTCAAGTATTCATTATGTTATGGAATCAAGAACTTACCTAACTTGGCAGGTCAGCTACAGAGGCCCTAAAAATATAAATATATAGACTTCAAACTAACTGTTCATTGTAAGTTTTAGTTGGGTTTAGTCATAGTCAATTTCAACTTAAAAAATGTGGAGTCTTATTTTAATTTTGTGGTTGGGAGTTACTATATACCAATATTTTCAAAAAAAGTTTAGCTATTGGGCGAAAAAGAACGTTCCGCATTTGAAACCTGTGCCATTATTAGGTAATTACAAGGATTATATTTTACAGAAAACTACAGTTGGCAATGTTTTAAATGAAATTTGTGACAAATTCCCCGAGGAACCGTACATTGGATCTTATTTTGGCAATGAACCGGCGCTTATAGTAAAAGATCCCAAACTCATCAAACTTATTCTGACAAACGATTTTTACTATTTCAATGGAAGAGAAGTGTCAGATTATACTGAGCGGGAACCAAGTACGAAAGGCGTATTCTTTTCGCACGGAGACAAATGGAAAGTTGTGCGTCAAAACCTTACGCCGTTATATACAACGGCTAAAATGAGAAATATGTTTCCTTTAATTGAAAAATGCTCTAGAGTGTTCGAAAACTTGCTCGAAGAAGAAACAAAAATGTCAAGCGTCGTCAAAGTGAATTGTCTATCGTCGCGTTTTAGTTTGGACTGCGTTGGTTCAGCTGCATTTGGTTTAGAAACAAACGCGATGCAAAGAGACTTTGAAAATAATCATTTTAAAATTATGAGTGAACGAATATTTGAGAAATCTACCTACAGAGGTTTTAAAAACGTGTGCAGATCTGTATGGCCTGCCTTTTTTTATGGATTAGGATTCCACTCATATCGAAGAGACATCAAGGACTTTTTTGAAAACTTATTAACTACAGTGTTTAAGCAACGTAATTATAACCCTTCTACTAGACATGACTTTATAGATTTAGTTTTAGCACTAAATAAAAACGAATATTTAGTAGGTGATAGCATATCGCGCCTGAAAACAGGTGAATTCAAGAAAATATCGATTAAAATAGATGAAGAGTTATTATCCTCGCAGTGTGTCTCATTTTTGGGAGCGGGATTCGATACGTCAGCTACAACATTAGCCCTTACACTATTTGAAATGGCCAAAACTGAACACACACAAACAAAAGTCTTTGAAGAAGTAGACAAGTACTTAGACGAGCATGACAATTTATTGAATTATGATTGCATATCAAAGCTACCTTATCTCGATGCTTGTATTGACGAGACACTCCGGCTCTACCCAAGCTTGCCAAATTTAACACGCGAAGTGATGGAGGATTACACTTTTCCGACAGGTCTTACTGTCGAGAAAGGTGTTCGTATACATCTAGCAGTTGGCCATATACAACGAAACGCTACATATTTTCCTGAACCAGAAAAATATCGTCCCGAAAGATTTCTTCCAGAAGAAAAGCGTAAGATGACGCCTTATACATACTTGTCTTTCGGGGAAGGCTTTAGGATCTGCATTGGTAAGAATTGATATGTTACTTAGTCAAGATAGATTTAGTTCTTAATTAATCAATTAATACTTTGACATGATAAATAAATAAGCCAAGATGGTAAACATTCCGTTTTAACTTTTCTAAAAAATAAATAGTTTTGTGCATAACTGCACTCTATCACATAATATATTTGTAATCCAATTAAGTTGAGTTATAGCAAACACTTTTACAAGTAATAAAGTAATTTAAAAAGTAATTTTAAGGTTATAGAACTATAATTTAGTAGAAATTATAATAAAATAAACTATCAAAGGAAATCACTACTCTCAGTTAATACAAAAATATAATTCCATAATGAAAAATAAAATCACATTTACCATTATGAACTTATGTGATTCATTTTTTTTTAATCATCACATTTATCTGAATTTTATCGAATGTTGCATATCGTACGATCTATTTCAGTAAATCTTGTATAATGCATTTAAGCAAAATAAAATATTTATATTCATTTTTAAACTAGCTGTCCCGACAGACTTCATTCTGTCGAAAGTTATTGGCCTATCGCAGAGTGATCACTTTTCTTCGAACTTTATTTCTGGCAGGCATGGATTGATCCATGCCTGACCAAAATAAAGCTCTGGCTGTATTTATATACATATCAACTTGAAGGCATACCAAAGATGATCATAATGCGCCTTTGTTTTGTTTACCTGTGAAAACATTATAGGTAGGGACAGGTGATTCATTTTCTTTGTGGTTTGTATGGAAAAATGAAAAGTATTGTTTTACAATTTTTTTTCCTCACAATTTTTGTGTTTTTTTCCTTCATAAGAATCTTCTCTTTGCTTTAACGAAAATATTAAAAAAAAAATACCGAATCAGTAGAGCTGTTCTCGAGTTTTATGCTTAGCAACACATTTGGCGATTCATTTTTATTTCTATAGATAATTATTATATTACAGGAATAGCGAAGAATGCGACAAAATACTAAGAAATTTACATTTTTCAGATTTTATAAGCAAATATATTTAAATTTATGCAACACCTACACGACACTATCGGTACATACGAGTTTATTTGTTGCTATCTTTCCTTATTGGTTCCTACGATTGCAGGTCAACGCTTCGCCAAAATGCAAATGATGGCTGGATTGGTGACGGTATTCAAAAGTTACAAGGTGCAGCTAGCCGAGGGACAGCCCTCTACCTTAGTATTTGATCCACGAGTTGTAATAAACCGACCTAGAAACGATGTTTACCTGAAACTCATTTCTCGAGAAAATGATCGTAGTTATAAAAAATTGTAGTTTATAAAGTTAGTTAAAAATGAAATTTAAAATGTAAAGGCTACTTTAAGAAAACTAAGTAAGTTTTAAGACAACCTATGTATATACGAAAATACTCTATCATAATTTTTATTATTCTTGTTTTTCGTGAGAGGTATGTAACTCAGATAGAATGAAATTTTAAAATTATTTTTTTAAAAATTGACTGCACGGATCGCGTATTGGTTTAAAAGTCGCCACGCCGCTCACTACTACGCTGAGTGCTGTGGGTTCGATCCCCACATGGGACACTGTGCGATTCACAAATTGTTGTTCTGAGTATGGGTGTTCTTTGTGTCCGTTTCATGTATGTTTGTGAAGTGTGCGACATAGGATTTATTCCTAGTGCGGGAGTTGTATTTTTAAAGAAAAAATAAATAAGTAAAATGATTATTTAAGACTTGTTGTCTTAAATAATCATTTTATTTATTTATATTTTCAATTTTTAATTGGAGAGTAAATCTTTGTTGAATACGGTACAATGGTTAACTAGTTAACTACTCTTGTAATTACAACATAAATAACAAAGGCAACTTTAGCAGAATGATATAAAAATGTATTTTATAACCACAGAAAAATAACTAGGATACTATGAACAGAACTGTTGATTTGTTAGTTTCAAATAATATGCCTAATAAATGTGCTTTGTTTATGTGTACATACTATATATATCATTAGGTCAAGTAGAGGGGTTGTTGATACTGGTGATAGTGGAAATATTTTATTGTATGACATGACTAAATTAATAAAATTGTATTAATAATAAAATCAACAAAAGGAAAATTCATGTAGTGTGCTTAATCCATGTTACTAAATCTAAATAACACATAAACACGTATAGTTTTGTCTCTGCCAGCTAGTGCACCTATGTACACTAAAAAATTGATAGTGTTCACGTAAATGCAAAAACACTGCTTCTATAAATGTGTGTGTGCCATACATTGTTGTACGGGCATCTCTATTCGGATACATATATATACCGATGACGACCTAAACATACATAGATGTACATATAGCTACCCACGAGATTAAAAAGGTTTCCATAATTGAATTAGATACTATAATATTCATCAACAGCCTTTAATAGTGAAACATAAGCATCAGCTTAGAAATTAGATTTAGGCCTACTATACCACGCTGGCGAGACTGGTTGGTATAGAGTTTGTATCCGGTGTCCTTAGACATTGCCAACGCGTTCAAAATTTTGCCCCCTGGAGTTGCGCGGGTAGGGTGGCGCTCGAGTATCACCAAGTGCCTCTCTACCTACGCCGCATAGTCGGGGCATATTTGTCACAGTGAGCTGTCGTCTAGAGTCGTGCGGTGTTCCTCAGGGTTCGGTGTTAGGGCCGCTTCAGAGGAACATCGTCTACGACTAGGTGCTTCCCCGTACCTTCTTAGATGGACATTCACGTGTTAAGCGGACGACACGCTTGTGACGACGGCGACGTGCGGAAAGCCGCACCCTGAAGCAACCCTGAGAGCCACGTCCGGATTTGCCCATGTAGTCCAGCGGATCCGGGGTGCTGGGTCTCGAGGTCGCTCTGCAGAACTTCCTCCGAGGCCTTTTTCTTTCATGGGCCTCGGAGGAAGCCACCTAAGAGCCCTCAGTGAGGTATCTGGGGCTAGTACTCGATGGCCAGTGGGACTTCTAACATAATTTTCAAAGTCTGGTCCCCAAGTTGGTTGGAGCCGCACGTGTATTGGTGTAGCTGCTGCTCTAAAATGACTCCTGCAGGAGATTCTACCCGGGGGTTCTGCGATTCATTTTTGATTACACGCTATTTTTTTTAACAATTCAAATTAAAGTTTCTTCACGAAAAATGTGGGGAAAAAGTGCCTTTGACTAAAGAGTTAAAGGCACTTTTAACTCTAAGTTAAAGAACTTTCAGAGTTAAAAATTAATCAATATGATACAATCAAGATACTTTAAAGAGTTCAATTTTGATAGATTTCACTATGAAATACCATATCCCAAACTAACCATTTTCAAGATATTGGACTTTTAAGATTTCTATAAAAAATGCCGAAATTTTGCTAATACATTTTTTTAGAACTACCATCATTTTTTTTTTTTTTTTTTTATAATTTCCATTACCAATTAAAAAAACAACACAGAAGTCCGCAGTTGAAAACGAAGCAGTCCAAAAATACAAGCCAAGTTTTCAACTAGGTACCACCGGGTTGTGCGCTAATTCTTAATGGTCCCGGTCTTTCATCTAAGTTTAGACTATTATACCTTGTTAGATAGCTTATAATACATACTTTTTTTTTATAACAAATCTGAAACTTAACTGTCAGAGATTTATTTTAATTTACAAAGAATTTTTTTTTTACAAATTTCTTTTTGCTTTTATAAACCATCTTAACAAACTCCGAACCAGTTTGTTAAGCTACGTATCCGTACGAGCTCGTGGCTGAATACATGCTATCCGGGCCGTCGGATGACAACGATGATAAACCGTCGAATGATAAACGATGTTATTGTGTTGGATAGAGCTTATCGGCTTATTTATTTATGTTAGAGGGGGCAGACGAGCAGGGTCACCTGATGGAAAATGACCATCGCCACCCATGAATGTCTGCAACTCAGAAGTCACACAAGCGACCCCAAAACTGGACTTCGCTCGATATGTCGATGCCTAGGATTCCGATGCTGGCCGAGGCAGTTAGGGAGGTGCTCTCAAACTGAGGTGACAGATGGTATCTTTTTTGCGGTGAACGCACATATCTGTGTCTTTTATGGGTTGAACTGGACTACATTTAGTCGGCCCGAATCTGAAACCTCCGCTAAGGAAGTTTCAATGTCAGACACAAGTTTGTTGAGGTTTTCACAGTATAAAGGGCATCTCCTGTGCTATAATCTGCATAGCAATGGATGCTACTATTTTTCGACATGTCTTGATATGCAGAAGAAACAGTGTGGGTGATAGCACACAGCATGATGAAGAATACAACGAAATAGTTCAACGATTTTGATTAGATCCAACAACTTAAACCAATGTTGTTGCCCTAGAGCTAAACTCTCACAGTGGAAAGTGTAGTGTGCTGCAAATATTGTGGGCCTATACCCATATCAGTTCAAGTTATTGAAGGTGATACTTTGAAGAGGATGGATTTCTGCAGATTTAGGTTTAAAGCAGATTTAGAAGACCCGTTATATTATTTCTGAGACATTTCATGCACATGAGTCAAAATTTCATAAAAACCATCTAACCAAAAAAAAAACCTAGTCTCTTTGTTAGAACATATCTATTATCTATTTAAAATTTTAAACCGACTGATTGACTCACTGACCGATCACTTAACGCACAGCTGAGACCACTGGACCTGGAAGGCTGAAATTTTGCGTAAATGTTCCTTAAACTTAAAAAAAAAGGGATTTGTGACGTAGGTAAATTATAGACAACTGTTCGGTTCCATAATCGGTTTAATAATGTTATAAATAAATTTGTGCAGTTACATATAAGGTAAGGCGAGCCGTACTCTACATCTCCCCTTTTTTTTTAAAAATGATTTATCCTATAAATTATTTTTATACACCAAACATTGAAAAAAATATATATATAATATATTAAATACAATTTTACAAATTTTATGTAAGAAATAACTTAGTATTTTTTTTTTGAATAACACAATATTTTCCATCTTTTAAAATTTTAACATTTGGTGGTATGTCCTCTAGTACTTTATATGGGCCTAAAAATAATTTATCCAACTTATTTCCTACTTGATTTTTAGCTAAATCTGAATCTCCATACTTATAGTTACATGTATTGATATTTTTATCGTAGTTTTTTTCCTTAATTCTTTACTTTTTAATAAATTGAACCTAGCTTCGGTTTGTGCTCTCTGAAGTCTAGATTTTAGTTCTAACGGGTAAGAATCAGGATTGTATACTGGATCTATGTACATATTTTGTGCTAAATTGGTTGGTAAATTACAATTTTTACCAAAAACCAACTCGAATGGAGAATATTTTGTTTCAGTATGAACAGTGGTATTGAAAGAAAAACACCAAAATGGAAGCCAAGTACTCCAGTCTGTTCTGTTGTTTTCACATTGGATTCTCAGATAAGCTCCTAGAACCCTATGAGTATTCTCTAAGCCTCCCAGAGTTTCGTAGTGATAGGCAGTAGAATGGAGTTTATTTATGTGCAATAACTTACATACCTCAGTAAAAACTGATGACATAAACTCTGTTCCCTGATCTGTAATCATTTCCTTCGGAATACCATTTCTTAAAATAAAATTATTTACAAATAACCTAGCTACTGAAACTGTATCCTTCCTTTCTAAGGGATAAGCTTCAACGTATTTAGTTAGATCACACTGTAACGTTAGAATGTACTTAAAGTTATAATTATCTATATCTAATGGACCCATTATATCTAAACTAACTCTTTCAAATGCTGTGGATGCCGTGGATGTGATGACCATCGGCTCCTTAGTGTGCCTGTTGGAGTGCTTTTGAATTTGACAACTTTTACACTTTTTAACGTACTCTATGACGTCATTATTCATTCCTGGCCAATAATAATATTTCCTAATATTATTTAACATCCTATTTATCCCTGCGTGTCTCCCGGTAGGTGAAAAACATCAGCGTACTTCGCACATATGCTTTCAATACTTCGTTGTTCTTCCTTATTTAGATATAAATTTAATTCTAAAGTACTAAGCAAAGTTTTGACTCTATCTGTAGTGACGGTATTATCGTCAAACCCACAAACGTTGAAATTCTCTAAACAACTAGTACTTATATCCGAAAAATGTGTCTTTACCGAACTATTAGTAGTATTTAGACAAAATGACGCAATCACTATCTTGTGAGGTCGGAAAGTGTTTTATTACTTCGCAACGACGCGGAATTGTAAACATATTGTTACTACTACTATTAACTGGAATATTAACTGATTGGTCTCGGTTTTCTAAACTTAAGTACCATCTTTATAATTTAATTTCCCGTTATATCTCATAAAAAA